CGTGTAGTAGAATTCCATCTGAACCTCGGCACTATTAAGAGAGGAGACTAGAATATTAACACAACACAATGAATAATTGTTCCATTCATTCATTCAGTCTCACTGGATTATTACAATTACCATGTATGGAAATGTAAACTGATATTTCCTACTGTCACACTACAGCAAAATATAGAAATAAATAGCTTGAATGAGACTTTAGTCTTTGCAACTTTACAGATCTTCTTTATGCACCAGTAGCTTGTAACACTCCAAAGAGAAAGGAAAAATTGAAATCGCATCATATGACCCCTTTAATTTTTGAGGTGAAATGACTCGGACATGTAGGCTTTCTGAAACAGGGCTGCTTCCATGTTATGGCCAGTAGATGGAGCCGTGAGTGTTTTCAATGTTTTCCAGCTGGTGCAGATGGTGAAATAAATCTAGATAAACGACCTTACATCTCCACTTTGTTTCAAGATGGCTTTAAGAACATCTCAACCAGAGTAATTAAGATATAAAACATGTGAAAAATGACTTTCAATTTAAAAAAACTGCAGCTCTCTATTCTCTAACCTCGGGTGTATTTCACTGCTTTGAGATACGTTGCTTCAATTCGGCTTCCAAGCTGTTTGTGTTCAGCCGATCTGTCCGTCTCTATTGGGCTGTGCTGTTATTGTTATTGATCTGAAATAATGTACTTTGAAGCCGTAGAGGTGAGACTGATGAGCAAAGACATTCACCTCAAGGCTGTCTGAGCATTATCAATTATGAGAGATGCCCAAACTTGAGGTGTGTTTTTGAAGACTTGCAGTTTGAGGCTTCCTGCTGTATTTTACTGGCGTAAAAGCTGGTTTTGAACTGAAGGTTGAAGGAGAAGACCAGCGATGTCTCGCAGTCATGTTTGTTTGATGGCATTAGTTAAGGTAAACCAGGCCCATGGGCTGAAATATATGAAAGGAGGCAGGAGAGAGCCGCGCAGCCATCAAACCAGGATGAATAATTCAGCGTCTGTCTCTGAGTTTTGAAAGGAGATGACGTGCATCTATTATTCTGTATCTGTATCGCTCGACAGAACCTCTCAGCCATCACCATAATCAACATTCTCTGACCCTCACATGCTGCTGAGAGGTCTGGACTTCAGAAATCACACACAGACGTGTGAGTTCACTGCCCTCCGTTTCACCTATATAGTGAGCTATAGTGATCTAGATGGCATTTCAGGGACCGGAAATGCATAAAATGCTTCTGAACTTGCCCATGATGACAGAATATGCTCGAGTTTGCAATAAATGTCACATTTCTCGAGAACCTTTATCAGTGTAGAGCAGGGAGGTCTATAATGGGTTAATAATGCTAATTTTTTTGTCTAATCTATTTATTTAAAAATACTTTTAAATGCAATTCATACACACAGGATACACATGAATACACTTTTTGTGTGATGAGCGTGTTTTTATTTTTTGATTTAAAGTTCACTTTTCTATATTTTTTAAGGGATTTAAATACTGGGATGGCAACTCTGTCCTGAAAAAAAAAAACTCTTATTAAAAGAGATTTAATACATTTTCTTTTCAAGAATTTAAGTAGTTTGACAATCTTTTGTTATGCCTAGTCATGCCTATTGAACTAGCAAATTATTTGAGATTTTTATGACACAGCAAGGATATTTTAGGGTGTAAAATGTTGTTCAGTGATGTTAATGTTCTCTAAAACTGAGACTAAAAATAGTTTTCAATAATTTAAATGAAGCTGAAATAAAATAAAATATAAATATCAGATGAAAAACGAAAATCGTTGCCTTGGCAAACAACTGAAATAAAATAAGTTGACGTACTAAAAAAAAAAAAAAAAAAAAATTGTCTAAAATGTCTTTTAAACTATCAAATAATTTGTGATTTTTATGACACAGCATGGCTAGTTTAGGTTGTAAAATATCATTCAGGTAATGTTACTATTTACTAAAACAAAAAAATGTTTTTTCATTAATTAAAATAAAGCTGAAATAAAAATTAAATATAAATATCAGATGAAAAAAGAAAATTGTTGCCTTGAAAAATACTAAAACTAAAATAAAAATAAAGATATTAAAAAAACTAATATGAAACTTAAACTAAAATTACGTTTAAAACTGTAATAATAAATGAAACAAAATATTGTATAAATAAAAAATAAAAACAGAAGAAAAACGAAAATCGTTGCCTTTGAAAAAAACTAAAAAAAAATAAGTTGACGTACTAAAAAAAAAAAAAAAAAAAATTGTCTAAAATGTCTTTTAAACTATCAAATAATTTGTGATTTTTATGACACAGCATGGCTAGTTTAGGTTGTAAAATATCATTCAGGTAATGTTACTATTTACTAAAACAAAAAAATGTTTTTTCATTAATTAAAATAAAGCTGAAATAAAAATTAAATATAAATATCAGATGAAAAAAGAAAATTGTTGCCTTGAAAAATACTAAAACTAAAATAAAAATAAAGATATTAAAAAAACTAATATGAAACTTAAACTAAAATTACGTTTAAAACTGTAATAATAAATGAAACAAAATATTGTATAAATAAAAAATATTCTTAAATACTATAATAGTATAAAAATAATTCTATAATAACACTGATGTCATGTGGTGCGACTCTCCAAAAATGGTATTTATGAATATTTAGAATTAGTAATGTTTTGTTGTTACTTTTTGACTTGGTTACTCCACATGACATTAAATTAAAACTTTTTCCCTTGAAAATGATATAAAAGTTTTTCAAAATATGAAACAAACTTTTATTTTTCCTCTCTTAATTGCCATTGACCCTAATACCTGGAAAGAGCTTCTCCTATCTCGCGCATGCACCTCTGGAACTACATGACTTCATTTGGATCACGTTTTGTTGTTTGCCGGGTGCATTCACTGTCACTGTCACAGGTCTGGGCTCTTATTGATTCCTTAAGCACGTGTTGCCACCAGCTTAATCGTGTTTGCTGGTAAACATCACCCCTGTTCTGCACAAGGGTTTATGCTGTAAGCTGAATCGTGCCCGTTTGTGTTGACTGTGACCTTGCTGTTGAGTGAGCGATGCTAAGTGCAGCGCAGCATAACGAATGAAGTGCTGTGAATAACGAGGGGAATCTAAAGTGTGAGAGGGGGACACAGACTCCCTGACGGATGCAGGACAGAGCGAGAGCTTCAACTGATTGCAGTGGACAGACCTTCTGCCAAAGAGATACTCAAAGCTTTTATGTCGAACCAAAGACTCTAATGTGGACAGTCAGTCACAACAAAGTATCTTTGTTACATTATGTTTTTGCTTTTATAATATTCTGTAATTGTATCATGATTTTCCTAAAAAAATAAAGTAAATAATAACTATTTACACTAACGATCAAAAGTTTGAAATCAAGATTTTTTTCTGCTCACCAAGGCTGCATTTATATGATGCAAAAATACAGTAATAAATTTGTGAAATATTATTACAGTTTAAAATGTATTTTAAAATGCAGCATTACTCCAGTCTTCAGTGTCACATGATCCTTCAGAAATCATTCTAATATGCTGATTTGCTGAAAAACATTTCTTATATAAACATTTATTTTATTCATCAAAGACTCCTGAAAAAATGTATCATGAATTCCACAAAAATATTAAGCAGCACAACTGCTTTCAACATTGATAATAAATATAATATAATATCAATGTTTTGTTTTAAATATAATGTCTATAGAAAAGTTACTGTAAATTGTAATAATATTGCACAGTAATACTGTTTTACTGTATTTTTAATCGAATAAACTTCTAGTTCATTCAGATGTTGATTCAGTAACTACTCTAATTCAGTGAGTTCATTCAGAAAAGGATTCATCTGACAGATTCAAACTAAGAATTGAATTTATGAGTCTTTATGAACACTTCATAATTCAAAATCGAGTTATAGCTGCACTGTAAAAAAGGTTATTAATAAAAGGAGAACATTTTACAAGAAAGTGATATTCCAGTCTTTCTACTTAAAAATGTCATGTTTAATTCAATGTTGCTTGCCATTTCTTAGTAATCATTTGTAAAATTTACTAGTAATTTCTGAGTAAAAATATTTCAAAATTCTTTTTTTTTTTTCAGCGCATATCATTTCCAGCTTGTTGCAAATTTTTGAAGAAAGATTTTTAAAAAATTGTGAAAAATGTACTAAACATATTTCTAGCAAATATAAAAATGCATTGTTAAAAATAAAAACGAGTCATTGCCTTTTGTCATCTCACAATGCTTTTTTTGTAATGACCATTATATCCAGGGATGCACGTAAGTGGTGCGCATGTGCGACCAAAATAAAAAATGCACTGGGTAAATAAGTTCTGATCACTCGTTTGTTTACTGACATGGTTGGCAGCTGTTAATGCACAATCACCGTTTAGATCGACTAGATTTCCATTAGAACCGAAAGCATAAAACTAGATAAAAATTAAAAGCTAGAAAAATAAAAATAAAAGCTTAAAAAAATAAAAGAAATAAAACTGCTGATTTTATGTTTAA